GACAACTGAGGGTTGATAGAGGTGTGGTATATTTCTTGTTCCCAACTTACCATACCTACAGGTATGGTATATTTCTTGTTCCCACCTTACCATACCTACGGGGTTGCGAACAAGAATAATCTCAGTGGCGAACACAAGGGCTAACCTTTAACACCAGGGGTTTCCTGACACTCCTCCAGCTTTCTGAAGCTGTCCAGCACAGATTCCCTCTCTTTTGTCCCCTGCCCAGACGAGCTGCCTACTCGTACAGCAGCGAGGCGCAGATTTACGCCCCTGCCAGCGCCGCGCCCTATTTCGAAGCGCAGGGAGGAGGAGGAGGAGGAGGAGCTCAGGTGACTACAGCGACATCCTCTCCTACAGCCATTCCCTCTCACAACATGGTGGGCATCACCATGGACATTGGGGGAAGTCAGATCCTCTCCGGCTCGGGAGCCTATCTCATTCATGGGGGGCTGGAGAACTCTAGACATTCTCTGTCTCACACCTCACGCTCCTCTCCAGCAACGGTATGTAGCCCTGCAGGCACCTCAGCAAGGGGGCCAGCAATGATTCCAAAGGGATCTGAAAAGCCTTCAGAAAATTTAACTGACCTGGCATTGTCGTTGTTTATGTCTATGAGTGCAAGGGGGAGAATAGACACTGGTGTTATACATTTATTTTTCAGTTTGGATTGTCCCTCTCGCTCAGATCGCTGAAATGATCAGCAGCATTAGGGAAGAGAAAGCATTAATCAGTCAAATATTAATAAAGCATTAATCATTCAAATATTAATAAAGGATTACATTTGATTTGGATTTTTTCCCTCCAAAACAATATATTTTGTTTTTTAATGATTTGGCCCCTGATTTCTACTGTAAATTTGTCTCTATTTACATTTTGGGTTTTAATGATTTGGCCCTGTTTTCTACTGTAAATTTGCCTCTATTTACGTTTTGGTTTTTAATGATTTGGCCCTGTTTTCTACTGTAAATTTGTCTGCATTTACGTTTTGGTTTTTAATGATTTGGCCCCTGTTTTCTACTGTAAATTTGTCTCTATTTACATTTTCTATAAGTGAGACGTCTCACATGCTTACCCAAAATATTGAAATATGTCTTCAATTGTGAAGAGACCTGGGACAATCTTCCTTAACCCATTGGATAATTATTATTATTAATTTCATTTGGAAATGGAGAAAATGGGATTAATTAACAAATTAACAAGAGGTTAATTCGGTTTTGCTCTCTAATCTCTGTTGGATTAAGAGACAATTGAGGAATGATGAAGGTGTGAACATAAGTTATGTTCAAGCTGATCATGCTGAGTGCACAGTGATCAAAAACCCTTTGTGTATACATCTCCTACACCATTGTGTATTCTGCCCTTGCCATATGTTTAGAAAATGTCTTTTAGGGGTGATATTGATCAAACAGAAATGGTTTAAAGTTCTGATTTCTCTCTTTGGAGGGTGTCTCTCCAGCTGCCAGCTGTGGCAGGTGCTGGAGCACATCTGTGTGGGACTGGGGGTTACAGCTCTTCACCCAAAACAGCCTTTTTGCTGTAAGGGCTTTTCGATTTGGGAATCTCCCAGCCCTGAGCAGCTGCCAGGAGTGTTTGCAGCTCATTTCCTGCTCACCTCCCTCTGCAGACTTCTGTGTGTTTATGCATTCAAATATAAATATAAATACTAATGTAGGTGTAATTCAGGGTATGTAGCCAGAATTTCAAATGTGAGCAGCATCACTAGGGAGAAAAACAGGAGCTGTTGCTACCGAGAACTCATGTAAATCTGGCCTGTTAAGTTGTGCTTTATTTCCCACTGAGTTTTTGAATATAGATTTTATGGTTTTTGAATCTTTGTGCCTTGAAAGGTTGCTTTGATCCTGTGCTCTGCTCTTGGGTAGGCATAGGAGAAAAGTCCTTGGTTTGGGTGGAAGAGAAAATGACAGTTATTGAGATTCTTTTCTTGGGTGAGAATTGTCTGTGTGTGCATTTTAACTGTTCATAGTTAAAAATTAGCACTGGAGCATTTGGTTTTTACTTAAAGTTATTATTTGGAAGCATCACCTGTGTGGGACTGCATCTTACAAAACTGCACAACTTTACTCTTGGATTTTTGGGGGATTTTTAAAATGTTGTTGTTTGGGGTTTTTGTAATTTCCATGGTGATGAGCACGATATAAATGCCCAAGTGGAAAATATGTCAGTAGAAATATCCTATGAATGGATTTAGTTGATGGTTATTACATGAGATAAGGCTGTTCTGCAAAACAAAACAAAAAAGAAGAGATTTAGAAAGTGACCTTTATAGAAATACATCTGAGATAAATCCACTCTGTTGCATGTACAGATGAGCTTTCTGAAGGTATTTTAACACAAAATAGCTGAGGAAGGGGTGGAAAAGGTGGGAAAGAGCCTGGCAGGTAATGCAGAGCTGTGTCTGTGTGTGGCTGTCTGTCCTTCCAGCTCAGACCAGGGTCAGAGGGGGCTGGAGCAGAGCCTGGACTGCTTGGAATTAATGCTGGAATAATTTGGTTTGGGATTTTAGAGCCCATCCAGTGCCAGCCCTGCCATGGCAGGGACAGCTCCCACTGTCCCAGGTGCTCCAAACCCTGCCCAGCCTGGCCTTGGGCACTGCCAGGGATCCAGGGGCACCACCAGGAGGGATGGGTGGCTTAAGAACAGCAGGAACTGAACCAAATCCATTTGAACTTTATTTTCTGTTTTAATGTCCAGCCTAAAGAGAGACTGGGAAAGGCTGCTTTGTATTTTTGGTTGGTTTTTTGTGGGGGGTTAGTTCTGGGGTTAATTCTGTGTCTGTTTGGGGGTGGTTGTGGAGTGATGATGACAGCTGGTTATTGTTTTTGATACTAGGAAATACAGAGGAAGGTTAATTGAAAGTATATTGGTGACAAAGAGGCCAGATTGGGGCAGGACTGGGAGCTGTGTGGGAGGAAAGGAAAGCAGAGCCAGGGAAAAAAGGGTTTTTGCCCTAGCCTTGGAGATGGACATCAGAGTGGTCAGAGATGGGGAATGAGAGGGATTGGAGGTGTTGAGGGCAAGGAGGGCACCTCCAGAGGAAAATTGAAATATTGGGATACTCCAGGATTAGCAGTGGTCCTCAGGAGGCTGAGAGATGTTTGGTGCACCAAAGAAAAATCTTGAGATACTTCAAGAAACCTCTTAGTAAACCTTCCCTCTGTGCTGGAGCACCAATGTTCTGCTCAAACAGCACAGGGAACATTCAATATCTGTGCCAGCACTGCACTATTAATCTTCACCTAAATTAGCCTGGACCAAGAGAGGAAATCCTTGAGACCTCCCTCAAGTGGGGCCTCAGAGCTCTTCACCTTCCTGCAGAGCTGCTCAAGAGTTTTTGGTTTTTCCCCTGTGACAGTTTTTATTGCAGATGCAAGGTGTCCTTTTGGATGGGACATCTGCCAACAGCACAAGCCAGGCAGCATTTCTGGGCTTGCCTCAGAGCTGCTGCTCAAACAACCCCTGAGCAGGCAGAGGAAGGAAATTGGGTCTCCCTCTGCCTCTGAGTCATTTCCTGAAGGCTGTGTCAGCACTCAGGCTCTGCTTCCTCGTGGTACATCATGGTGTGGGGTAGTGAAACCCCAA